GGGTATCATTCATTTCATCAGAACCAATAAGCATTTAAGGTGTGTTCCTGATTCAGCAATAGCATCTTGTATGTGTTTATTTCCATCAAATAATATTTCATCAAATTAGTAAGGAGCATGCTACATGTACCCCAAAATTTGTATCACATTTATACACCAAAGGTATACACCAACATTTTGATGGTTCACACTGACACATAGTGTTGGTGCGTTAACAAAAATTTACACTGACATAAAGTGTTGGTACGTTAACAAAAATTAGCATTACACTAACACAAAATGTTGGTGCATCCCTGCGGTGTACAAAATGGGGTACAAATCCTTTAGGTACAAATAGCTTTACCCAATTAGTAATACCAAAACCCAACTAGGACTACCACACAAACAAGAAAAATCCATTTTGTCAAGAAATTTCCACTTTTCTTAATATATACTAACTCCGTCCCAACATCTGCCGCATACCTTATTTGGGCATCTCAAAATGAGGTTCACATTCCTTTCCAGAAAATAATTGGGTGGGTTATATATAATGGCATAATATTTTGCAGCTCAACCTGCACAAATAAAAGTTAAAATTTATCATGCAACATAGTTCAGCAAGTATCCTATAGTAACACCACAAGCATGACAAGGATCCATACATCTTTTAATAAAAGGCTGACATCAATACATAATCCCAAGAAGATAAAATTTTGAGCTTGAATAAGATGGCACATCAATGAAAGAAGCATGACCACAAAGATACCTTTAGTTTCAATGCATCCCACAATCTGTCAACGAAAGTAACATTTGCAAGTATTTTTCAGTACCCAATATCGCTAGGATCTCCAATATATTCTGCAATTTGCTCAAGCCGCACGTTAAGCAATTCATGTGTATCCGCGTTTCGCACAACACCCGTCTCCTTCTCACTGTCTCTTTCAAGAAGGCTTCCAAACACACCCTTATGCCTTCCATACAAAACAAGGACAGGGCCTCCACGCTTAGGCAGTGCCGTTTCAAGCTGGTCCTGATTCACACCTTGGATCAATTCCTGACTCTCGTCCATTGATATATCGCATGTTGATGGGCCGACCACATCCACTACTTTTCCTTTCTTCAAATATAATTTCCCCCGTTTCAAATCCTTACTAATAATCCTAACTCTTATATGGCTGGCCAGCCAAGAAATCTGATCAGCTGCCTTTGCATTTGAATCGTCTCTAGCATGTCTGCTATTTCTCCTGTCATGTGTTCTTTCCTCCCTGCCTTCGCTATCCCTCATTACTTCATCCCTACGTTCTCTGTGATGTCTAACCCTTGACGAATCTTTATCGCTGTCTTTAATCTTCAATTCTTTCAACTTCCTCATGCATTTATCATCTTCTACAGAACCCAAGTCCGCAACATCACATGCTTGAACAATCACCTCTCTGTCATCACTAGAAAGCCTTACAATCATATTTCCACTACTTCTGACCTTCACAACCTTTCCTTTCATCCCAATTTCCCTACCTCCAACAACCCTCACGTGCTTGCCCACGAACATTCCTTCACCTTCTTTTCCTCCCCTTGCTTCCTTCCCGTTTGAGGTTTTTCCATCACTCTTTTCATCACTACCATTCTTGTGCACGGCTTTACCCTGATCGGTCTTTGGTAATGCAGCAGAAAAACCAATCCCTTCCTTTGCAGACCATCTTTTGAATTCCACCACCTTTACATCATCTTTTGCATTCCGGCCAACACCTCTGCCTTCATACCAACCATACCCCTTGAGCAGAGCAGCCGCAAAGTTCTCTACCGGCATAGCCGCATACACATCCATATCATTATCATCCGGAAGCCTCTTCAAATCATCTTTAAGTTTTCGTAACATGGGGTCAGGATTAGGGTTAGGGTCTTGCGATTTATCCGTATTCACATCGTCGTCACCTTTTCCGACCGACTGCCGGATGTTCAATCCGTAAGAAATAGAGCCAGGCGAAGGTTCAACGGAGGAACCGGTGTGTACCTCGAACAGTAACGGCTGATCGTCGGAAGATCTGATTGAAGGGAGGTCGAGATTCTTCATCCGCTTGCGAGGCTCCCATTCGTTGGCAATCGGAGGGATCACAAAATCTGAAACAGATCCGGGTCCTGCCGGAGCTTTCGATGGGTCGTACTCGGTAACGTACTCTTTGACGGAGGACGCAGCAGCTTCCGAGTCGTCGGAAATGATGGCCTGAGAGGGTTTCTTAGCGTTTGAAGACGGCTTTGATGGAAGTGTGAAAGAAAGCTTCATAGCGGATGACCGGCGAGAATCGCGCGTCAGCGAGCTTCGAGAATTTGGGAGGATTGATTCAGGGGCTTGGACGGGAAATCTGGGGGGTAATACAGAGTAAATAGAGAAAGATTTATGAAAAAGTATGAAGGTTGGGTTGTATAGGTATCCCCAAATTTGATGAATGGAGTGATATGTCTAGTGACTACTTATTGATTTTGGCTTTGTTTGGTAAGAGCGTTTTCAATTTTCAATTAGCGTTAGCGTTTTGGATAAAATTTTAACGGTGCACATTAATTCTGAAAACGCTAACGCTAAAGGCTATCGGATAGCTTTTTCAAAACTCTAACGCTGATGCCAAACAGGGCCTTTGTCACTTTTTGTGCTTTTTCAGATACACTAACTCCCTATTTTTTAATATTTTAAAAAATTAATTTTATAACATTTATTTTAACTAAAATTAAAATAAAAAATATAAAAAATAAATAAAAATAAAAGTATATGACAAAATATTTTTATAGAATAGGGAAAATTAAGTCATGAAAGAAAAATATGTTGCATGTTGATCTAAAAAAATTTTATAAATATATAATTAACTAAATATAAAAAGATCTTAGCATGTATTTTTTGGTCTCAACAAATTCAAAAAATTAGAATTTTTTTAGACAGACAATGAAAATATTTAATTTGAGACAAATGAAGTATATGTTAAATTTTTTATTTCAAATACAAATACATTTTATTTTTTAAAACATTTTTAAAAAAACTAGTTTTGAAAAAACAAACTTTAATTATGTCTAACACAAATATTTTACTTTTTTATTAAAAAAGAGAAGAAAAAAGAAAAGCAATACAGAAATGAAGAGAGGGGGTGTTAGAGTATATAAAAACTATTTTTGGGCAACAATCACAAACTTGAGCTTTTAGTTGAATTGGTTACTTGACATGGAGGAAGGTTGGGAGTGTAGTGAGTAATGAAACACCATTAATTTATTCTTCTGAAGCCACAATTCATAAGCTAAAATATATTGTCAAACATTTAAAATTATGTTTTAATATAGTAGAAGCTATAAGTTGTTTTCAAATACACTCTCAAACACCCGCATGGTATAGGAGTCTTGATAACTAAGAGGTTACGAGTTCGAAACGCACCGCCACCCAATTAAAAAAATAAAGTTTCACGTGCAAGGTTAAAAAAACTCATGCCTGTACGTGCGAAGCGTGTTAGAGTATATCAAAACTATTCTTGATCAACAATCACAATCTTGAGCTTTCAGTTAAAATAGTTCCTTTCCAAAATCATGGGTGTTGGTTCCCATGTCCTATATCAGTTCCTGCTCTTCCCGCCCCTCACTATGCTGCCGCCATTGTCGGTCCGAGTGTCGGAACTGCCAGTGCCGATTTCTATACCGGTTTGACACCAGATCCATGTTTAGACCTAGATGTGAACCGTTAATTTTACTCACGAAAAATGGTAGGTGCACAAAATCGCGTGGCGGGTCCATAACTTGATTGGACGAGAGTGATAAATTTAGATGTGATTTATTTTCATTTTCTTGTTAGCAATGCTTATGTAAAATATTTTCTTTGAAAAAGAAACAAATAATGGTGCAGGAGCGTTTTGAGTAGTGTTTTATTTCGAATTTGCATATAATTTCAACCAACATAATCATGAACAGAATGTCAAATAAGATCATCATATTTTGATTTTTTTGCATAAAGATCTCATGAGTAATTTGATTGGAGATTCTCACTGTTTGTTGGGGGTATCAAGGAAGTTTCATCAAGGCCAACCACCTTTAACAAAAAGCTTAATTAATTAAGAGTCTGTTTGGGAATAGCGTTAGCGTTTTGGATAAAATTTTAACGGTGGAGATTAATTTGAAAACGCTAATGCTAAACGCTGCCCGTAGATAACCTTTTGAAAACGCTAACGCTAATCTCTAAAGTTATTCCCAAACAGGCCCTAAGTAATTAAATAAGTAGTACTCCACTGTTCCGTAACACGGAGGTAACTTGGCAAGCATTGATCAAGGGAGACCTTTGCGTAAACAATCTCACAGTGGATATGATACACGATTGGGTGCAATGACGTCGTTTGATCTATGCAGCTGACCCAACCTAGTGGGATAATGCTTTGTTGTGTGTTGCGTTTATTTATTTGTATTAATTTGTATTAATATGGGATGCAAATTGATAGTAATGAATTATTAAAGTTTGTTCGATTTAATTTTAAAAAGCCAAATTGGGTGAATAAATTGGGATAGAGAGAGTATAAAATTATTACTCTTATGTCTTTAAGCAACTAGCAGTTAAAAAAATTCATTTTAAATTTTATTTTGTCTCAAATTTTTTTCTATTAGAGTTTTCTTCGCCTTTTGCAACAAATTTATTCTTTTTCGATTCTTTTAATTCACTAAAAATGTCAATACTAGCATTTTAACTTGTGCAACACACAAATTTTGATTATTATATAAATAAAAATTGAATTGTATATTTGTTCACACAATTTCTTAAAATTTATTTCATTCTATTAATATGTTATACAATTTTTATGAACTTAATGATTAAAATTCATCTAGTTTGATTCAAAAAAGACAAACTGAAAAAATATTTTGGGAAAGTGAAAATATTATCACTCTCATTTTCATGATTTGTTAGTCCATTCGTTTTTTAATCATAAAAAGAAATATCAAATAAAAACATTATCATGCATAATGTTAGATAACTATGGTAGTAATAGTTATAGTTATAGAAGGATCGTTATTATAGTTAATTACCATACTTGGAGAATCCTAATTGATATAAGAATCTCCATCTCTATAAACTACCTTGTACACAATTATTTCCTTGAGTTGAAATCATAATTCAATATGGTATCGGAGCCTATTGATCCGTGTCTTCCGTCTAGGTAACGCAAGGAAAAAAAATCGGCCCTGCCGATTGCTCATCTTCCCCACGCCGCCGATCTCCATCAATCGGCCATGGCTACTCTCTCCTCTGATCCCATGGATTGTCTGCCTACGGGTCTGAAATTATTTGTCCGGAATCTTCAATCTTTAACTCCGGTCAAACTTGATGATACAAATTATCTTTCTTGGTCCGCTACGGTTCGTGCAAATCTCATCGCTCATCGTCTCCTCGGTTATGTTGATGGTTCAGAAGTGCCTCCTCCATCTCTTGTTCTGGACGAGAAAGCTGCCGCCCTTGGCAAGGATGAACCGCCGGTTATGAAACCCAATCCGGCTTATGACTCATGGGTCCTTGTTGATGCTCAAATTCGGGCTTGTCTTCTTGCTATTGTTTCTCCAACCGTTCAGGCGCATATTCATGCTCTTCCAACCTCTGCTGCAATCTGGAATCACCTTGAACAACGGTATTATTCTCTTTCACGTACTCATATTTTCCAGTTGAAGGAGCGCCTACATAGCATTCAAAAGGGCACTGATTCAATGCAAACATACCTGGACACTGTACTAACTATTGTCTCATCCCTGAAATTGGCTCATGAGGACATCTCTGAACAAGATATTATCTTGTGTGTGCTTCGTGGCCTCCCTACGGACTACGCCTCGCTCAAACAGAACATTCGTACTAATATTGCAACTGTCACATTTAATCAAGTATCTGCGTGGTTGATATCTGAAGAATTAAATCTCACCTTTGAGAAGAAACTCCACCTTGGTGACTCTGGCTCTCCCTCGTCAACAGATCTTCATCAAGCCTTATTCACCAATCCAGGACGGGGTATTGGCCGGGGTCGTGGCCGTGGGCCGTATCATGGCCGTGGTGGGCCCTCCCGCGGCAGCAGCTACAGCGGCAGAGGAGGCCAGCTGCTTTCCTACCGTGATGATCCGAGAGGTCGCGGTGGTGGGCGTGGGGCTGGCATCACATGTCAATTGTGTGGGAAGACCGGTCATGCGGTCTGGAATTGTTGGCACCGCTACGATGAATCTTATTCCGGTCCTCCTCAGGCATACTACACCAACTAATCTGTTGAAACCAATCCGAACTGGCATCTGGACACCGGAGCAAATACCCATGTGACGTCTCACTTTTCTCGGCTACATACTTCTTCACCGTACCATGGCACCAACTCTATTACAACTGCGGGAGGTAATACTTATCCCATTGACCATACAGGCTCAGGTATACTAACCACTTCAAACCATACTTTTACCTTAACCAACCTTCTTCATTCCGCTCATATTAACTCTCACCTACTATCTGTTCGTCAATTTACCAAAGATAATAACTGTTCTCTACTTTTCACTTCCAAGGATTTTACGATTCGGGACAACACCACCAACCAAGTTCTTTTCAAGGGCCCTTGTGAGCGTGGCTTATATTCCCTCCCTGCCTCCAGTTCGTCACCAGTGGTCAACTCAGTCAAAGTCACTCCCTATCAGTGGCACTGCCGTCTTGGTCATCCCTCTGCTCAAGTCACTAAGTCCCTGTTATCTCAGTTAGGTTTTAAATTTCAGGAACTTGATCATTGTAATTCTTGTTCCGTGGCTAAATCCCATAAACTCCCCTTCCTTGTGTCGCACACTAAAGCGTCTGCCCCTTTTGAACTTGTTCACTCTGATGTATGGGGACCCACTTCTGTACCCTCCTTTGGAGGTTATCACTTTTATATTAATTTTATTGATGATTTTACCAAATTTTGTTGGTTGTACCCTCTTAAACATAAGTCTGATGCATTTGATGCTTTTCTCAGTTTTCAATCTATGGTTCAAAATCAGTTCCATACACAAATTAAAATATTTCGAACTGATAACGGGCGGGAATATGTCAACACAAATTTTGGTGTGTTCTTACAAAGTTTGGGGGTTCTACACCAAAAATCTTGTCCGTACACTCCTGAGCAAAATGGGGTAGTTGAAAGGAAACACCGTCACTTAGTTGAAACGCTTGTCACACTCCTTTGCACTGCGTCTCTCCCAGCAAAATCTTGGGTTGAAGCCTTAGCCAACGAATTTTCTAATCAATCGCATGCCCAAACGGTCTCTGAATCACAAATCACCCTATGAGTCTCTCTTCCACAAACCGCGAGACTACTCCATGTTTCGCATTTTTGGGTGTCTGTCCTACCCGTGTCTCCACTATGAAATCACAAATAAATTCCAACCCCGGTCCAAACCTTGCATATTTCTTGGATATGATTCCTCCTCCAAAGGGTATCGGTGTTTTGATCGCACCACGGGTCGTATATACATCTCCTGTCATGTCCAATTCCAAGAAACTCACTTTTCGTACTCCACTATTTCTCCACAGTCTGTGTCGTCTCCCGCTCCGTCTCCGGTCTTCCATGGGATTCTTCCTCTTTTTCCCGATCACGCTCACACGGGTACCNTCCTATACAATTTGGTAGCCTCTCCCCCACTATGCGTAGTCCCGAATCGTCACCTATCCCCTCTCCACCTCCACCACCACCCATACGCCACCCGATGACAACTTGTGCACGGAGTGGCATTTTCAAACCCAAGCTTTTCTCCACCTTCACTCAGCCCTCTTCCCGACCTACCACAGAGCCGGTTACATATAAGGAAGCCTCCCAGAATAGCTATTGGTGGCAGGCCATTGATGAAGAATATAATGCCTTGATTAGTCAACACACGTGGGATCTTGTTCCCGCACCTTCAGATCGTGTTCCTATTGGGTGTAAGTGGATTTATAAAATTAAACATAACTCTGATGGCTCTGTTTCTAGGTACAAAGCACGTCTAGTGGCAAAGGGGTATACGCTGGAGTATGGCCTGGATTACTCTGAGACTTTCAGCCCAGTTGTTAAACAGCAGACTATTCGCTTACAAAGAGAAAGATAGCCAATAAAAACTTCAAAAAAATTATTGGTGGAATTTTTATAACAAAAAACAAAGAATGGCATTTTTACCAAAAAAAATTAGTTGCATATTTCTTCTTGTTTAAATATGCACTAACAGGCTAGAGGAAAATACAAAGACATTTTGTACGGGTAATTAAAATCTAGTGGCAGTTTAGTAACAAAATGAAAGATAGTGACATTTTTGACAAAATATAATAATTTAGTGGAATTTTTTGAACTACACTCCTCTGAACTATGGTGAAAAGTATTTTTACATCACAATAGTTTGTACTTCTCAAGTTACAATTCATAATCTAAAACTGATATACAAACACTTAGGAATTATGTTTCAATGAAATAGAAACTCAAAGAGTGTTAAAAAATATCCCAAATATGAAATTGAGGAGAAAAAACATATTGATATATAAATTCTTGAGTTAGACTAATTAATCGGTTAGATTCAATTTTTTAATATAGCTAAGCTTAAGTGTTTAATGGCTCAATCTAGTCCGATCTTTACCCATCCTAAATTCTATCATGGTATCGAAATTAGTTCTAGCCTATCTCTTTTGTCAATGTATCTATCTAGATGTTCATTTAGAGCGGCTGTAGTCTTTAGCCCAGTTATTCGTATGGAATAAATAGCCAACAAGTTGTAGCCCATAAACCCGATTGTTTGTCTCGAAGTCTATACCCAACGACTCGGAGTCCTTCAGGTGTTGCCGCTACATTTTCAAATATTTGTTTTAAGGGGAAGGAAATTTATTTTCAAGTGATTAATCGGTTAGATTCAGAATGGCTTGGTTGTTTACTTGAGAGGAGTGTTAAAAAGTATCCAATATCAAAATTTGAAGAAAAAACAAATCGAGGTATAAACTCTTGAGTTGAACTTAATAATCAATTGGATTGAATCAGTCCAAATGTCTTATGACTCAATCTAGTAATCTTACCCCATTTGCCCAATACAATAACCCTTATCTCACCATCCCATTCAAAATGGGATAGAGGTTACTAGATTGGACCATAAGATATTTTAGTTGAATCACATTAAAATACTTAATTCAATCGAATAGTTAGTCTAATTAAAGAGCTTATGTATCCATTATTTTCTTCTTACTTTTTCTGATGTGAGATACTTCTTAATATTCCTCATCAAATGGACAATTGAGCGATTTTGAATCTAACCGGTTGACCACTTAGAAATGAACTCTCATTCCCTAAATTTTTTGAGCACCAACATGTAAAAGACCACGAGTCGTTGGGTATGCACTTTCAGACGAGTAATCGTGTTAAACGAACCACATACTATTAGATATGCATTCCACATGGACAACTAGCCTAAGATTAAGGTCTTTAGAAATGAATGTCTAGACAGACACCTTGACAAATGAAGAGGGCCAAAATCTGTGAAAAGCTCGACCAAAAGCTAAAACTAGCGGTTGTAGATTCATGATAAGTTTTTATATTCTAACACTATTCTCATAGACAGTTCCAACCATCTTCCTAAAATTACTCCAACGTCTCAATTTAGGCGTTCATTTATTTATCTTTTTTTCTCTCTAAAATTAATTGTCCAATTACAATATTCACATAAATTTAGTTTTTTTTTGCACAAATTTGTTCAAAAGATTTACTATTTGATAATAGATTTATGATTAGAATGCGGTGGATTTATAGATTTGTTTTAAAATTGGCATATCTATTCAAAGACTTGCAATTTCTATATTTAAAAATGTTTTCAAACATTCTTTAAAGTTAGTTGACATATCCTTTTTATTAAATAGTCAATAAAAATACATGCAATTTATTCTCTAGGATTATAGGTATGGCAATTATATGTGAATACGACCTTTACCAACCCGATTGGAACTTATAATTATTCCAAATCCAAACAGGAAAAATTAAGTATCCGAAACCAAACCGAAAAAATTTAAATCGAACCCGACTTGGGTCAATATATTTGACTGACTTAACCCGTACTTGACCCGACCTTTACCCGACCTTCAATAAGTATTTAAAAACCTTAAATTCCTATATTTCATGTACTTTTGATACACATGTTTTGAATGTTCTAAAACTTATTGCATTTCTTTGTATTCTATTTTTTATTGTAGATAAATCTTGTGTGTCGCCCCTATGTTATTTTCTTTGTACTCCTTATATTATTAGTTGAAACTTACTATTTAATTTTTTGGAGGGTCATTCGATCGTAATTATTTTTGTTAATATCTTAAATTTTATGTTATCTTTAAAATTTTAATTTTTTAATGTATTTCAATCAAAAAAATTTCATGAATACTTTTATTAGTATTCAAACTTGATCAAATCTTAAACTAATTGAAACTTGAACCTGACCTAAGTCGAGTCAGATTTCAATATACTCAAACCCGACCTCTTGCCATTCATACTAGGATTCACTAATCCATTAAATAGTGAACTTCCTAAATAGAAGTAAAAAAAGTATTAAAATATCAAAATAAGAGTCATAAGTTTTTTAAGACAAAAAATAGAAGTGTATACTTCCATTGTTACATTGCCGCTCTCACTACATTATCACATTGTAACTGTCACATTATCACCGTCACACTGTCATCCATCGCCGCCGGCCACCAGATGTCATCGCGGATCGCCGACAATTGACTGATCATACTGATGTATTACACTGTCATCACTTTTCTATAATTCTACCAACGCGCACTCTTACACCATATTGCCAATATTCTCATATTTTGGTCTTAAAAGATTTAGAATTCTTATTTTTATACTTTCACGCATTTTTACTCCTATTCAGGAAGATTTATTATCAATTAGAACTAAATAATTCCTCACTATTCTAGTGCACCAATAATTCCTCACTATTCTAGTACCCTAAATTGATTAACGGTTATGCTTTGTTAAAAATAAAAGCTAAAGAACAGGGTAAAGATGCAAAAACATGTTGGTGCACTAACTTTTAAAATTTGGTTGATTAGTTTTAAGCATTTTTTACCATGTAAATACTAAACTATTGTTTGATGTTGATAATGTTAGAGCACTCGAAATACGTTTGAAGCCCCGTCAGCTTTAACTTACACCCAAAATTCACTGGAAATGGGTTTGAAGTCTCGGGGCTTCAAACCTTCATTTTTTACATTTTTAAATATACATATTCTAAAATTAAATTAATAAAATGTAATTAATTTATTATTTGAATTAATCGCAATGAGACTAGTGCATTAAAAAAATTACGTTCATTAAAAAAATATTACATTCATAAAAAAATAACATTCATTAAAAAAATTACATTCATAAAAAAATACATTCATAAAAAAATTACATTCATTAAAAAAATATTACTTAAAAAAACAACACTACAAAGAAATCACTAATTATTCGAGCGACTAAATATATGTTCGATCAAATCCGCCGTTAGTGCATTGTGAATCTCTCGGCTTCGAATTTCTTTGCGGTTTCTTCGTTTCTTTTCTTCGGTGATTTCTTCGTACATAGGCACCTCCTCGTCCGGGTTGTATTGACAAATCGCAGTCCCGTTGTCCTCCATGATCATGTTATGAAGAATAATACATGCGTACATGATATTCCTCATTTTTGTTTGGGAATAACATTTCGACGGACGATCTAGAATGTGTCATTTACCCTTCAAGTAGTCGTTTAGAAGTGAAGCGTGGGCGGACGTATTATTAAAGTAGTCGTTTAGAAGTGAAGTGTGGGCGGGCACTCGATCCCGGTTTAAACGTTGTCGTCGGGTCCGTCGTCGAGAGGATTCGGCTTCTTCTTTTTGGTCTTCTTCCCACCATTGAATACAACTCATGGCGAAACAACGAAAAAAGAGAGCTTTTTTTTCATCGTCGGATGAAGATGATCCCATTTTTAAAAATATATTTTATAAATATTTATAATAAATAATAAATATTTTAGAGAGAAGATAGAGAGATGTGTGAGAGAATGATTTTTTAGGAGAATTTATAGGTTTTTTTTTAAATTTTGATTTTTTTTTTAAATTTAGGGTGGGGGGGGAACGGCTCTATAGCCGTTGAGGGGGGTAACGGCTAAATGGGGGGGATTGTTGAGCGTCAAAAAAATGACGGAGTAGGAACGACGCCCGGGTAACGCCGCAGGGGGCAATGTTTAACGCCCCTTGGGCGTTTCACGCCCCCTCACGCCGGTTGGCGTTACGGGCATTACTAGTGCCCTTAGTATAATATTAACTACTCTGGATCAACTCTTTGGTATAAAATTAGGAAATAATTGCACTGCATAGCATTAAAACTTAAGTCATTTTGTTAAATAGCACTTAAATTGTTTTATTCCTTAAATAACACTTAATAATGTCCATAATGTTTAATGAAGACGAATATTTGGTTGAATAATGACTAATGCATAATGACTAAAAAATCTACATTGGGAAGAAAAAACACATGTGGTGCTATTTAAGGAAAGTCATTATATTTTAGTACTATTTAATTAAAAAGAATTAGAAATTCATAATATGAATTATACGAGTCAAAATCTCGTCACACAGATTGTTTTTGGGTTATAACAAAGAAATGAGTCTTACAAATGAAAAACTAAAAATTTAAAATTTAAAATTCAAAAATAAAAAAATTAAATGGGAAAGTAAAAAATTTAAAAATGAAAATGGACATTTAAATTTACAACTTAGAATTTAAAGTTTAAAATATAACTTTTTCAAATAAAAAATTAAATTTAATATCAAAGGTTTTAAATGAAAATTTCAATACTAAAAATAAAAAAATAAAATTTAAATTTTTAAATTTAAAATATAAATTTGTTATCTAAATTTAAAATAAATGATAAAGTTTAAATTTTAAAATTTAATTATAAAAATTTAAGGTTTCGGATTTAAAATTTAAAATTGAATATTTAATATTTAAAAATTAAGATCTAAAGTCTTTTTTGAAAGCTAAAATCTAAGATATAACATTTAAATTTAAAAAATGAAATTCAATTAATAACATTTCAATTCGATCACATTTCAATTCCAATTCAGCAACCATGCTAGAACGGGGGGAGGTGCGTAGCTTGTGGATCCATCTATCTCTATTGGGACCGACTAATTATATATGTACGTGTCATATATATATATATATATATATATATATATATATATATATATATATATATATATATATATATATATATATATATAGACGAATATGTATTTATTCTTCGGAGTTACAAGGAATTCTATTTAATGCCTCGGCGATACTAATTAATACTCCCTCCGTCCTAATATTAATTTCTCATTTTGACTTTTGCAGTCAAAGTTTTTAAACTTTGATTGCATATTACGGAAAAAATACATTGAATTTTTATATAAATTTAGGACGGAGGTATTAATGGTCAAAATACCGCATTGGAGACCGTGAAAAGTCAAATGAGAAGTTAATTTTAAGACGGAGGGAGTACTTAACAGCCCGGTATTTATTTACGGAGTAGTATTTAATATAATTTAATTTACTTAGAGCTTAGCCACCGGCGCGCCATCTAATTAAGCTGCCTGCCGGCCGCCAGCCATGGCTTCCATTTCTAACGGCGGCTTAAAGTCGATTAACGGCTCCTCCCCCAAATCCTCCGACCGCAAGGGCGGCTGGAAATCCGCCATTTTCATCATCTGTACGTAAGACCCAATTAATAAGTAATAATTACGCCGCCGCCGCATTAGCTCGTTTTAATTGTCATTGTTGTTGCAGTTGTGGAGATGGCGGAGCGATTCTCCTACTACGGGATCGCCGGGAACCTCATCACCTACCTCACCGCCGTTCTCGGCCAGCCAACCGCCACCGCCGCCAAGAACGTCAACACCTTTCAGGGCGTCTCCGCCCTCTTCCCCGTTCTCGGCGCATTTCTCGCCGACTCCTATGTTGGTCGGTTCAAGACAATTGTCTTCTCCAATCTCATCTATATCCTCGTACGTTACACTGTGTCACACTTCTTAGCTTCATTAATTAATTAATAATCACTTATATCCAATTAATTAAACAATTCAACTTACATGGTTCTTGAAAATCCAAAAAAAAACCCAAAAAATGTGTTCCCATTGAGTTCAATTATGAACTTAAAATCTATGTTACGCCATATCTTCAAATAGGTGCGGGTTTCCGAAACGTCCCCAGTCGGATGCTTAGGAGCGTCCCCACACCCAAATTCTTTATAGAATTTTAAAAGAATTGGCGTTTCACGCTTCAGACCCAGTCCCCGTATAACGAACTCGAAATTTTTTGTTAGATTGGTTACTTTATATATTGAGATTTTGTAATCTTGTGATGCAGGGGCTGACTCTGTTAGTGGTGGCGTCGACGCCGTCAATGAGACACGACGGCGGGCTATTCTTCGTAGCACTGTACATAATAAGCGTGGGCGAAGGGGGGCACAAGCCGTGCGTGCAGGCGTTCGCCGCCGACCAGTTCGCGGAGGAGCTGCCGGAGGAGAAGGCGGCGAAGAGCTCGTTCTTCAACTGGTGGTACTTGGGGATAGTGGTGGGGGCCACACTCGCCATCTTGGTGGTCATCTACGTGGAGGACTACGTGGGGTGGACCGTCGGGTACGGGATTCTCGCGGCGGTTGCTGCCGCCGCGCTGGTGGTGTTCCTGGCCGGGGCTGGGACCTATTGTAAAGAAGCTCCCGTTGCGAGCCCGTTCACTAGGGTGGCGCAGGTGGTTGTCGCCGCCTTCAGAAAGAGGGGCGTCTCGGAGGAGCGTGACGGCCGCGGCATTTGGTACGGAGACGGTCAAGGCGGCGGCGGCTACGACGGCTTGGGTGGTCGAGATCGCATCCATCACTCTTTGGCGCGTACTAATCAATTTAGGTACGTCCATTTTAATTTATTTACGTACCACTAATTTTTAAAAGAATGAAACATTAATTAATTGAAAAAGAGTAAATCCTCTTAAAAAGTTAAATTGAATTTTAATCTTAAACTGATTAATAGAATATGAAATCTGTGTTTTAAAAAAACACTCCATAGAAAATGAAATATGAATACTTTATTTACATTCGTTTTTTACAAACTAAATCACATTTCTAGGTTGTGTGAGAGGTCACAATGAAATTAGAGACACATTGGTCATTGACGAGATTGCTCAATTTTAAAATGAGTGACAACTTTGTCATTGACGGGATTGTACAAAATTGGCAATATAATTATCACAAAATAATGACAAGAAAATTGTGTCGTTCATATATCCGTCCCAAGTTCTTTTTCTATATAAGAATAATATATTTTTCTCAACGACCAATCCAACGCAATAGACTAAGTCTGAAAATACAAAGAAATTAATAACCCCAAAAATAAATAATAAAAAAAATCAACACACATGATGTCACAATTGTTGTAGGGTAGATGCCCTTTTAGGCAAGGGGTTCTAGGCTATATTTGTGGTCAATCTAGAAATATAGAAAGACAAGGGGGGGGGGGGGGGGNCACTAATTGACCCAACTCAAATCCTTGGTGCGTGCACGCTCATCTCTTTTCAGTTTTTAAAGCAGATTGATTTCACTCCTCTAGTACCACTCCTTTTAGTGATTTGACTAATTCCATTTTCAAAAAAATTAATTATAAAATAAATAAATAACACTCGCATATATGTATTTATTGTTCTCATTTGTTTCTTACAAGAAGGTTAAGAAAATAGGTTAAGAAAAATATGTTAAAACTAAACGAGGAGGCTAAAAAAGACAATATAGCTAAAATTTATTTGTTCATTCTTTAATGATTTGTTCTTTTCTTTCGTGTTTGGTGAAGCATAAAAAAATTCGGATTGATATCTATCGAATTTAGGAAATGTAAACATCATATCATCTTCTAGGACTGAATTAAGGGTCTGTTTGGGAATAACGTTAGAGATTAGTGTTAGCGTTTTGAAAAGGCTATCTACGGCCAGCATTTAGCGTTAGCGTTTTCATAGTAATCTGCGCCGTTAAAATTTTATCCAAAACGCTAACGCTAATCTCTAACGTTATTCCCAAACAGGCCCTAAATCGATGAATTCTCCAAATTGGCAAATACCGCTGGTCTATTTGAGTTGTCTACATACTTTTTTGAAATCTTTACCTAAGATTAGCATTACCCTACACTCCTTTGCGGAGCATATTTTCTGTCCCCATCTAGTCTAGTGTATAATCGTCACTCAAATAGTAGTGTCAAATAGTCTAGGATAAAAATAATACTCCCTCCTCAATTTGATTCCAAATTGGGGTTTATGAGAAGAAACATATCAATTTTTAAAATTATTTTATTTACAAATCGGTATATCGATAAGAAATAAAAAGTATATATTAAAAAAACACGTCAAAAGTTCTACAAACCAAGAGGTGACAAGAATATTTTATTTTATTAAATACTTAATGAAATCGCGTAAACAACAAAAAATTATCGAGATGTGAGAAAGAAATTGTAATCGAATTGGAGATAGAAAAATAATTATAGGAATAGTAGTATTTCTTCTGTCTCGGAATATTTGTTCAATTTGAATTTTTTTAGCCAATTGTTTTAAGCGTTGACCTATAATTGAATAAAACATATTGTATATTAATTAGATAAATTAATATTATGAAAATATTTTATATAATAAATCTAATAAAACTATTTTGTATCAGTATCTAATACTCCCCCGTCCCTGAAAACCTTTGTCCTTTCTTTTTTCATTCATCCCAAAAACACTTCTTATTTTTATTAAAAAATCACTTTTACCCCTTACTTTTTATACCATACATATCACATTATACCTTTTTACTAATAATCTACCCATCAAATCCTACTTTTACCCATCACATCAAAAGACATTTTTGGAAATTCAATACCAAAATATACTTTTCTTAAACGTCTTCAAAATCAAAACATCTCATTTATAAAGGGACGGAAAGAATTTTATTTTTATTTATCTTGGAGTTAAAGTTTACCAATTTTGACCGAAAAAAGTCATATGTGGATAAATACTACGAGACGAAAGGAGTATGGGTAGACAACAAAGATGATAGAGTACTAGAAATGACATTAATTAACTTAGGAGTACATTAAAATAGAGTATCTCATTTATATACAAAATATTCACAGACATCCATAGACATTAATATCTTTGACCGCACAAATATTGAGAGTTCGTATGTGCTGTGAATACTTGTGTACAAATTGGTTATTCTATTTTTGTATTCCCTTGGCATTGCGTAGAGCTGGCAAATCGGTCGGTCAGGTCGGGTTCGGGTTCGGTCACTTCGAGTTCGGGTTAGGGTCAATTCAGGTTTGGGTTGAGAGTTGTATGTTCATGACCCATTGCCATCGGATTCGGGTCGACCCAACGGGTTATGACTTTGGTTTTTTAAATTTTTAAATTCACATTAACACTTACATTTTCTATTAAATAAATTTAAAATATCAAAAAATATATATTAAATCTATTAGATTATTCTATTTTAAATCCTGAAAAAATTTTAAGATATATAAATCAATATAAAAAATTTAAAAAAATGTTTAAATGTTAGAAAAAAGTAAGATAATTATGCAATATCATTAAAATTTTGTCTGAAAATATAAATTTTCCATTAAAAACGAGTAGTAAAGTGTATGATTTTGAAAAATACTCACTTTAGCGGGTCGGTCAGGTCGGGTTCGAGTTCGGTCCGGTTTGACCCATTTTTAGCGGGTCATTTCAGGTTCGGTCAACTTCGGGTTCGGTCATCAAAACCTTTATTCAAAACTCAGTGTCTTCAGGTCGGGTTTCGGGTCAAAAACATGTCGGGTCATTTTTTGCCATGTCTAGCGCCATTGCGTTAAAATGTTTCCTAGATAAATTTTGTAGAAAAAGTTATTATTTGTGTATGTATGTAAAATATAATAGTATCATTTTAGCGTGGTCACTGAGATGAACTATTGTTTACTTCTAGTGTACTTGTTTAGTTTGACTTTTTCGAGTAAAACGGGACATATATTGAGCTTCAATCTCTCCTAATCTATATTAAATATCACTAAAATGAAATAAAATTTTTAGAATTTTTCAACTATATTAACATGCTAAAGTCACTAATGTAGATTACAATTGCAAATTCATCCTGTTGACCAAAAATGTCAAACAAAACAAATACTTTATATCAAACGTAGAGATGAGAATGTTTGTAAATTAAAACATTGTACATCAAGTTTACATCACTCATTTTTTCATACTTCACTTGTGTTGCAAAAACAAGCTCTTGTCTGTGTCCGTTAACGATAAATTGTGTTTGTAAAATGCAAAAATGTGGTGGCATTAAGTTTCGTGTGCACCAAACGTGGTCCTAACATAATTGTGGGGTTGATATCATTTTTGTGATGTCACATCATCGATAGGATAAAACATGAGAGTCATGTTTGAAGTTTTGAGATTCTTAATTGATTTTAGGCCTGGTTTCGTACACAGAATTCAAACTATGAAATTGGAATTGAAGACTTCAATTTCAATTATGGTGTTTGGTAGCACAAAAATTATGTGGATTGGAATTGACAGAATTCAATTATATGGAATTGAATCCCATGGAATTTTAATTCCAATTCAATTCCAATTCCATCAGTTCCGTATACCAAACGGAAGAACATTTAAAAAGAAAATACATATAATTAAAATAAAAATTCTATGATTGACTTTTTTTTATTAAAAATAACATCAATATAAAAGATAAAATACACAAAAAATACTCCGTAATTAAATTTAAAAAATAAATGATAAACATAAAAAAGACGAAATTCTTAAAATTAATGCTACAATTAAATATTGTTGAAGGAAGAACCATTTTTTTGTGATCTAAGACGGAGGAAGAGAAATTAAGAAAATAGGTAATTTGAAAGAGATGAGAGTGGCTAAATCGAAGTGGAGAAAAGTCAAGTTTTAATGCTTTTGGGAGCAAATTTCACTTCCAAAATTTAAAAATTACTCCGTATAATTGTGTGCAAACTTTAGACTCCAATTTTCAGCTTGTAGCCCGTGCTCCCTAGTACCAAGCGCTAGGTATAACGGAGTAGTTTTTGGGTCTGTTTGGGAATAACGTTAGAGATTAGCGTCAGCGTTTTAGATAAAATTTTAACGGTGCAGATTACTTTAAAAACGCTAAACGTTGCCCGTAGATAGTCTTTTCAAAACGCTAACGCTAATCGCTAACGTTATTCCCAAATAGGCCCTTTATATTCCATCTTTTAAATGTTAGGGTAGATAGGAAATTTACGTATATAATACTAAAAGATAATGACTTTTTCAATATAGTACTATAAATATACTTTAATTTTTCATTGTAGTACTACTCTTCAATGTCCACCGCGACCAAACATTATTCTCGCCACTAGACATTTGTTCAAGAAATATTTAGAAAATAAAAAACTTTAGGTACTAAATTAGAAACAAAAGTATGTTTTAGCACAATTTAGTATAAATTTTACTTATTAGATTTTAATTAATGTCAGATCCAATGAAATAAGCCCATATTATTCATATTACTACATGATTATAGAATTATATTTGGAATGAGAAGAAAAAAAGGAATCATCTTTGATAGGATGTGATAGTTTAAGAGATAATGGAATATGAAAATCCTAGAAGCAATGCTATTTTGGGTGGTGATTAGCATTAATCAGTTGCTTTGTGGTATCAATTAAAACCATATCAAAAACAAAACAAATTAAAAGTCCAAAACGAAACGAAACCAGTGTGATAGCGTTTAATTTTTTTGTATGGTAGGGGTGTCAAATCAAATATGAATGTATTCAATTCGTATTCGGCTTATATGCAGTATTACCTCCGTCCACAAATAATACAGAGTAATGGGTTATTAAAAATATCTGGACTATTTATTTTTTAAAGGCCCACTAAAAATTACAAGTATAAGTACTCCGTAAATCATCTACACATATGCACATAATTCGAATCTTATACACATCAGAAATTACCATATTCATATTCGAATAAATTTGAATAATAAAACACAATTCGACTCTTTGAATACAATGTCAAACCGAATGAAAAATATTTGATTTATATACACCCCTAGTATTATATATATATATATATATATATATATATATATATATATATATATATATATATATATATATATATATGGCAGTGTACACTTATAAAAACATATACGTAAGCGAGTAAGTGGTTGAAAATTATGCATATAAAAAATTGATATTATAAGCTAATATAATATTTTTTAAAAAAACAAATGACACTCGGCATTTTATTTTGAGCAAAATAAACAAAGAATTTTGATTATTGACTTATTGTGATCCCAAAAAATAAAGGCAATTGAGGCAAAGACCATGTGGGATAAATAAAAGTCATAGAACGTACGGACTATATATATCTGTAGACCAAAGTAGAGACCTACTCTTAATTTTAATTGTAATTAATTAATGGACATGTTCCACATTAGAGGGATTATTAGTTGACATTTGCACAATCTAATCTTTTGACTATTTTTGTACCCACCCACTAATCTAATGGAGAGGACTTCACCAAAATAGTATGTAGCTACCCCAATGATGTTTTCTTATACCACACTTTTTATTTTATAAAAAAGCATTACTCCTTACATTTTATTTTTAGTCTAATATTGAAAAAAACGATTTTACTTTTTATTTGTATTTTTTTGTCTCTTGTATTATTTATTTTGTCTCACACTTCTACATCATTTTCAATTAAACAATTTTATTTATCTTGATAACGATGTTGATTGCTTTCTCAAACGTAACTTTATGTGCGATGGAAAAGTAGTGTTTATATACAGCGTGATACACAGAATTCGAACTAAAGAATTAGAATTGGAGACAACAATTCCAATTTCAAATGGGCATTGACAAGATTTGGATAGCACATTTCTAATTCTGTTGTTTGGTAGCACAAAAATATGCGGATTTGGAAATACTAGTGCCAAAATTTAATTAGAATTGGAGGATTCGATTCCATCCAAATCAATTACATAGATTTTAAATTCTAAACTAATTCCAATTCCGTCAATTCTGCGTACCAAACAGACTCTTACAATAATGCATTTGTTTGCAATGACAAGAATGTTTGAATTTTTATTCAAAAAATGTCATTGCAATGTTTTGTTTTTAATAGCATTTAGATCATAAATATAACAGATCAAAACACCCTCATTTCTTAGGCTATGTATCATTTTCACTTGAACCAAGATCTATTCATGTAATTATATAACTACTATGTAGTATCATATTACTCTTTTTGTCCAAAAAAGAACCTTACATTTGACATTTCCTAGTCATATACATTATGTCACACTTGGACTATTAATAATTACTCCCAAACTATATATATCTTGAAATTATCTGAATTATATGATAGACGAAAACTACAATGGAGTATATTTTTACGTAAATAAATGTCATAAAAATTTGATGGATTAAAACTATATCTTAAAATTAACTCAATTATATTAAATTTACATTATAATTTTATACATTTTTTTCTACAAATCACAATCAAAGTTTATAAGCTCTAGTATTAAAAAATTAAATGTAAAGATTATTTTGGGAGGAATAGAGTAATAATTACACTATTATGGAATGTCATTCTTAATGCTCCATGGGAGCATGTCATAAGATATCACACAATATTGGGGTTAGGATATACGGAGTAGTATATGGGTTTATTGCACCACTTTCTTTTTTTTTAAAAAATCAAATCGATTTCCACTGAATATATATATATATATATATATATATATATATATATATATATATATATATATATATATATATATATATATATATATATAATGTCAAAACTTATATATATAGGGGCAGATTTACTTAATAGCTTAATTATTAGTGGCATCTACCTACCACCTTTCCCTACACAAATCTTTTCAATGCCCATTTGTGCCACTATGAAAGAATCATGGAATCACACATTATTGGAGCTGTATAGAATTATAGATACTCCTATTAAAAATCCACATGC